GAAGGACGTTGCGGCCCTGTGAGGGTCACCCCCCTCGGGCGGTCCTGGGGGCTCCTCGGGTCTCTCCCGTGCTGAGACATCTTCCCAAGTCTGGGCAGCTGCCCTTGGGTGGCCCTTCCAGAGCAGAGGGGCTGGAGAAGTTGACCTCCGGAGGTCTCTCCCAGCCACACATCCACTGCCGTCCTGTGTCCACAGGGAAGTAGAGGACACTGTCCACAGCACCAGAAGCCCGCAGCGTTCCAGAGGATGTCCCGGCAAGAGCCGTGTCCAAGGTAGCACACCTAACTCAGAAAGAATAGAGGGGTACAGCGTTAAACGTGTAACCCGTGCAGCATGTTTTCAGTTTAAACCTTACTCTCGGATTCCACCAGGGACTGTTTCTTCAAATAAGGAAACTCCGGGAAAGTAATGAGTTAAAATAAGGGCAGGCAGATGCCGCTGTACTGGTTCAGTTCTTCAACTTCCACTGCAGTTCCAGAAATGGCAACGAACGGCATTTATACAAAGATGACTAAAAATTATGTAGAGAATGACAAGTCATAAATCTCTGGTCACTGAACAGCTGCCAGTAGCAAACCTGAATCACAAGCACCATGAGTTATTTTCAAAGTCATGGCCAAGAAACAAATTGTCTATAGCCAAGTGCTAGGGCATTTGAGCTGTTCGATTGTGGATATTCACCATTTGCTATCTGACTATTCAGAGGAAGAAAAATAAATTGCATTCTCCATTTTGCTTTTTCTTGTCCACAGCTGCTTGCATCTTTGTTTTGTTTTTTTAAAGAGAAGTACGTATGGCCAAAGCAAAATACATGCTGCAACAACACTGCACTGATGTTTACTTTCACTCGTTTTGTGCTGGCTATTACCACAGCCCTTTGATTCAGAGGGTTTGGTCGCTCTTGGAAATGCAGATGTTCCATTTCAGCAACCACAGTCCAAAGAGAACAGCTCGTGTGCTCTGCAAGCTACCGGGTGTAGGCTTGGGATCACTTCATATATGATGCAGCAAGTAATTCTTAAAATACAAAGAAGCAGTCCTCACATTATACAAGATGAAAATAATTGTTAGAATTATAGATCCTAATTTGAGTGCTCTTGGGCACCTGGTTTAGGGATTAAAACATACACAGGGATAATGGCAGGCCTCAGCAGGGTGATTTGAAGCACCCGGCTGTAAGGAATACAAAATTCATGAGGCCTGTAATAGAGGAAGGAAGAGAATGCCTGAATCTTCAGCTCAGTGAGCAGGGTCACCCTGTAGCAAAGTTGGTCCTAAGCTGTGCTCCAGGTGCCGCTTATGCGTGTTATCCAGTGTCTATAGGAAAAAGTATAGGTAGTCTTGGAAATGCAAAACTTCTTCCATCCTCTCCAGGCATCCCTGCAACAAAGCTACATGGGTCTTACTTTTACTTGCCCGTGGCACCTGTGCATTACTTTTTCAGCAAAGCCCATCTTCAACACAGTAAGTGGAGAGAAGCACCTTCCCTTCTGCATGGCAACATGGAGAATGCAGGGAGGTACGGGAGGTGGGTGTTGGACAAGACCAGACCGACACATTTACTTCCTAGTGAACTTGCCGCTAGAACGGTAACACCCAAATACCTCTTCCAGTGTTTGTGTCAGGGAAGCTGCTGTGTTTGTGTTCAGCTGTGTGCAAACTCAGTGTGTTTCAAATGCATCTGTCAGACTGGGCTTTTCTCATGACTGTGGTGGCGTAAAAGTGCTTGTCTGTCTGTCTCAAACAGAACAGAATTTGTGTGGGAGGTACTTTACCCAGCTGTCTAGGAAACTCTGAGCACTGCTTTGAAAATGTAAAAGGGAGGCTGTGGGCTACTAAGAGCAAAAAGGAAAAGAAATTCTAATTTTAAAAGCAGGTATGGGTTAAGTGTCTGATGTGATAAGAGTGTTCATGTTGTAACTTTAGAGTGTAATATAATAGCTTCTGATCCAATGAGCACTCATTTGTGCCTAACTTGAAGCACATTTTCATTAACTTCAGTCAGACTGTTTGTACGATTATAAACTTGTGTATTTCTAACATTGGCCACTTGGAAATCCTATGAAGTTCCATCCTCCATGACCAACCACAGTTTATTGAACACAGTATTTTATTTTGTTTTTTCCTTCCTGATCACAAATAAACTAAAAATGGGTAATTTCTTCTTTCTGCATTTGTTGCATTACATGTTTTGGAGTTCAGCAAGCTTTTTGTTGAGTGAAATGGAGGTTACTCAGCATATGTATGACTTGATAACATTGAGCTGATCAAGCACGCCAGCCTGAGAGATAATCTTTTCTCTCTTCAAAATCGGGTAGTCTCTAATTCTTGAAAGTGTCTCTATGTAAGCCCATGTCCATGCTTAGTAAATAAGCACACTGGTAATCGTTAGTAAAACAGGAATCATAGTCCTCATATTCATGTTGTCTTGCCTCTTTTAGTGTGGAACAAATATGATAAATTGACACTGACAAGAGCCGATTGTTTGGCAGAGATTGCAATTTCCCATTAAATACAGAAAATACTAAACTATGGAATTACTACACAGGATTCCTGTAAAACTTTAAACCATACTTGTAAAAAGTGTATGTAATAGCATTTGTTACATAGATGGCATTCTTGCACATTAAGGTAATAAGACTGTGCATCATGAGAGGTTTCAGTAGCGCCCATTTCAGGAAACGATCAAAGAGCAAGAGCAGTGGAATACCCGGCAAGTGTTAGCTGTGCTCTCTCTGAGCAGGTACTTTTGCCCCATCTTCTTGTAAAAAAGCTAAGAATGATTAAGTCAAGGAGCTTGTAATAAAGTCAAATGCCATTTAGATTTTTTAGGTTCCTGGGTGTGCACCCTCAAAAGGCACGCAGTCTCAGAATGAGCGAAAGGGCTTTTCTGCGTCTCTGATGTAACTACTGACTTCAGAAGAGTTACCCAAGGCAGAAATGAGACTATATCCTGTTCACCATATTAGGCCAAGTTAGCAATGCATGATCTACCTTCACATTCAACTTCCTATTTAGTCAACATGAAACCTCCAGCAGCTAAATCACAATATATTAAAGCTGCCTTTGGTCCACCACCTCTATCCTTGTTTGCCTTACAAAACTGGCTCAGATTCACCTCAGCTCTAGTCCTCTGGACACTAGGTAGTCCAGGACAGTATTGCTCAAAGCTCTGAGATGAAGGCTGCACTCAACAAATCCAGTGCTTGGGCAGAACGTTTTACCATTTCTAAAGCTCATCTGTGCAACAGGAAGGCTTTTTCCAGGAGCTCCCTCCTTCAGGCAAGGAGTGATGGCTGCTCATGCAGACATATCTGAACTGACTTTAGGTAAT